GAAGACAGTGGCCCCGTGTAGCTGGTCCAGCAAATCATCCAAACGAGGAATGGGAAAGCGATACCTGACTGTGATCTTGTTGATAGCCCGACTGTCAACACACATACGCCATGCCCCGTCCTTCTTTAGAATCAACAAGGCCGGGACGGCACACGGGCTAAGGCTTCGACAAACAACTCCTTGCTGTAAAAGTTCCTCCACCTGGCGGCGAAGCTCCTCGTGTTCCACTGGGCTCATCCGATAATGCGGTCTGTTAGAAAGGGAGGCCCCCGGGACCAAGTCTATATGATGCTGAATATATCCCGTAACGGAGGCAAGCCGGGGGGAAGATCGATAGGAAAAACATCAGCAAACTCTGACAACAATGGCTGAATAATGACTGGGGGCTCGCGTTCAACCGACCTGTCTGAGCCCACAAGTAGAAGGACAAACCTGGACGACCGCATCTCCTCCACAAAAGCCGCCCGCGATAAAAATAGAACATTCGAAGAATTAGTAACCGGCACGGGACGAGGAGGAGCAGGATGTTGTAATATCCCGACTTTCTATCAGTATAAATTATATTTTAGTTCCGATATTATTTTCTAGAATTAATTATTTTCAGTTATTTCAGTCGAAATTACCGGAAACTATTTTCGACGTACCGTTTACGTTCGAAATAATTTTGGTAATTAAGTATTATGTTTAATTAATTAATTAAACATAAGATAGGTGATTAATTAATATTAATCACTATGTTAAGCTTAATAGCCGTGAGTTTTAAGACTAATTTGCCGTGTGCATCATCTATGTAAATGTTAGTAATATTTTGTCCCAAGCTCATGTGCCATGGCCGTGCATTACTCGGTTCAAATGGTGGGAGATTTTCCTTGCTTCCAAGTCATGAAGGTCGTGCACTCCTTGTCATTTTGCTAGACAATTTGTCCAAGATTCCCTCCCAAACATTGTTCTCTTTAGCCGTGCACTTCCTTTTGTCATTTTGCCGTGCATGTGTGAGTTTTTGTGCATGAGAGAGAGCTTTGTCCAAGATTCTCCCCCTCCTTGTCCTCTTGTGCCGTGGGAGGTTGTGTTGGAGTCTAGTGCATTTGTTCATGTTTTATCCTAGCATTTGGAGTGTTGTGCCTACACTATTAAATTTCTTGTGAATGCCGTGCATGTGTGTGGGTGAACATTTGTCCAAGCATCCCCTTCATTTTGTTGACACTCACGTGAACACATGAGGCAAGAAAGTGTGCATGGTTGCCAAGTGTTCAAGGTCTTTAACCATTCCTCTCCCCACATCATGTGCATTCGGTTTTATAAGTTAAGCCTTGGGGAAGTTTAGTTCCATTTTCTTTCCCCTCCTAAGTTCAAGTGCCGAGAGGTTGAGAGATATAGTGAGAGCTTTGTATGAGTTAGGAGTGCGTTCGGGAGAATTACCGAGAGTCCGCGCGCTGAGGGCCATCGCGCATCCGAGCGCACCGCACGCTACCGCACGCCGCAAGCTACGCCACGCTCGCAACGCATCACTCGCACGCGGAGGTCACGGCCAAGCTCGGGAGTACGAGTAATTTAGCCTCTTGAGTTTTATAAGAGGTAAGTCCCGTCGTCATTTGGCCGAGAACATCATGTTTATTAAGATTAGATTTTATATGGTCATGCAAGCGTGTTATATGCGTAGCCATAGCCTTAGCCGTGCCTAATATTATCATGTTATGATTTTATTCGAATTCTCCGAACATTCTTGCATGCTTAGCTTTTATATGCAATATCATGTTTAGATTAGCTTTAATGTTCGGATGATATCTCACGTTTGTAGTGTTCGGCCGAGGGTAACGTGGTTGCGCACCACGGGCCGTGCTTGCATGCTCAATATGTTAAGTTAGTATTCTCCGAGTATTCTCGCATATTTAGCTTTTATGTGTAAAATCATGTTTAGTTTAACTTAAGTGTTCGGATGAATTTAGTCATGTTAGTGGGAGTTTGATCGAAGAGGTGTGGTCGCACACATAGTGCGCACCACGGACCGCTCTCGCATGTCATTGCATGTTATGCTTAAACCTTCG